ATGAATGTCTTATTCAACACGTGACCCATCTCAACATAAGAAAATATTTATAGCTTTAGCATCTCATTTTGATCACCATTATAACAAAAATATGAGATCAATATATGAAAGCCTTTCTCCATTGTTCCAGAAATTAAAAAAAAAAATTCATATCAAAGCAAGAAATTAATATCACCATATTGCTAAGTATACATCTTCTTCTAATTGAAAAATACTTCAAACACCTTACATACATGTTTTCGATAAAGAATGGCATGGCACTATCCTTGAGGATGAATTTATCTAGGTGTGATAAGTTCAAATATCATAGATCAAACAAAAGATTGGAATCATAAATGAGGATATTCCTTCAAGATTAAAAGTTGGGTAATTAACATAGAAAAGGCTATATGCAACAATAGGATATCATGAAGATTTAAAAGATAAATTTTATAAAATCAAAATTGGGCCAGCAATTTTGTAAGAATTTCCAATATTTCCATGAACGCCACTAGCAGATCGTGGCCAACTGACAGGTTAAAGAGAAAAAGCTGACTTTTCCCTACCAATATCGTCCATCCTCTAAATGACGATCAAAGCCCCATCATGCAGACACAAATTAATTTCATTGCAAAATGGAAGGATGTATCAAAGCATTATCCATGTGTAAACCACTAACTTTTCTCACTCAATTCACTTTTACTTCTAACTGCGTCTAGTAAAATGGAAAAATCTAGCAAAATTTGTCATAATTCAAAACATCTCAAATTTCATAACTCTGATTCTCCTGCATTTCTTTCAATTTTAGATGAGCTTAGATAATCTCTGCTTTTGCCCCACAGGAGTGCGTAGAGACATGCCACCATTATAATAGCTCCAATAGTCTTGTAAAAGTTACCAATGAAGAAGAGTCAAAAGAGTTTATAGAAACAATTTAGCAACGTAGTTATTAAAGGAACACTTGCTATTTTTTTTGAGTCAGTGGTTGTTTGAAACTGTACGTTCTACTTGTTTTGAGAAAATGCTTTTGATAACATCGAATTTATAATGGAATGTTGTTAAGAAAATAGGAATATTCATTAGCCAAATCTATAGTTGAGATGTGCAATGGCAGACCCAAACTTAATTTTTTAGGAGGCAAATTTATAAGTAACTATTGGTTTTGCCTCCAAATTGGCTCGACACTTCGCTACAAGAAAATAGGTCAATAACGACAAAAAATAGAGACAAAAATAAAATGGTCGCTAAAGATGATTAATCATTCAATTTCTACAAAATGTATGTTGAAGTTGCCTTGAATTTAGCTCGACCCTTATTTATTTATATCCTTGATCCGCTTCACAGAAATGTTGGGGGTCCAAGGGGGCAGCGCTCCCTGGCGGGGTTCAACCTGCCCGATCAGGTCATTGGGTCAAGGGGCAATGCCCCCGGAACAATTTTTGAAGGGGTGGGGGGACAATTTTTCTAAAATCCCAATACAATTACACCTTTATAGAATGTGTTTAATTCTGTTTGGGGCAATTGCCTAAAGACTATAGTATTTTATAACTTTTAGGGTGGGCGCAATTGCCTAAAAACTATTGTAATAAAGACTAAAAAATAGATGGAGATGGACAAATTACCTTAAAAAATCATATAATAACCCCCCCCCCCGTGTTTAAGGGGGATCCGCCCATGAAGCTATAGCTAATGATGTTGGTCATTTATGGGAGTAGAAAATTTTCAAATAATTAAATTACTACACATAATATTTTACTATTATTAAAAGAATTATAACATCTTATTCATAATTCATTAATGCTTACATTCCTAGAGATAACTTCTCTGCCAGAATAAAGGAGCCCATAATGGCTGTCATAATCATGACAAGAGGGCTAAAAGCACTTGCAAACACTGGACCCCTCTCCTTCATCACTATCCCTTGCACGTAATAAGCAACTCCAGTGCATACCACCCCCTGCAAAATTATAAGCATGAGAGCTGCTCTCTTTAAGACATAAAACCTTCACAGGCTTCTTCAAGTTCTACACTTATAGCAAGTGCTGTAATTTATATAGAACATTATACAAATCCAAAAGAACTTTCCTCTATGTGAACAACTTTCTACAAATAAGTGAAGGATTTGCTTACAGTGTAGATTGGGGCAAGAAGCCGCTTATCCAAACCAATAATCCATGGCTTGCTACTTGCATGATTTGCCACTAATGCAACTGTAGTACTCATCACCGCACCCATTGAGCAGATCAAAGCAGTAAGGGTAAGTTCAGCTGGATATGATTCCAATGTGTTTGACTGTGTTAATAGAACATACTTAGTTAATCACTAGCAATTAGTGCATGCTTAACTTAACAAATTGGAATTAAAAAAGGCTTGTTTGAATTACTTGTAGGATTAAGAAGGCCGACCAGTTGTTGCTGCTCCCTATAATCATCATAAATGTGCCTTTCATCCACTTGAAGCTGTCTTTGCCTTGCCCAATGGAGTTAGTAGAGTTGCTTTGTTTCTCTCGAGCTTTGGAGTAAAAGACTAGATCGAAGATGGGGCCTTTGTATAGAATCATCAGAACTGCACCGGCCACTGTCAGGAGGGTTCCTATTACCATTGCTTGGCCTCTTCTTCTCCTTATGTCGAACTTCTCAGTTCTAATTAATTTTGAAAAAAACTTAGAAATGAAGTTCAAGTTTATGTAATGTAAAGTATTAAGTTTGGAGTATACTATCTATCTTTAAATATAATAAGAGAGAGAGTGGGATAAATGATGTTAAGTTTTTTGGACAATGAGGTGAAAATTGTTGTGCAAGTTTGATGAAAAGTATAAAGAAGTTTGATTTAAGAAATACAGAAAACCAACTTATGGGCAGACAATTTTGAACAATCAGATATTCCTTATTTTTAAGGGGGATTTACATCCAAAGCAGTCAAAAATATAGCATTTACATAATTAACACCTAAAACTCACTATTACATAATATAGCACTAGGTTAATAGAGTCAATGAAACCCTTAATGATGAAAAGGAAGCTGCGACGGATCTCTCCTAACACAAGAAAGTCTCGACGGATCTTACCGGGAAGGGGCTTCTACGGGTATCCCCCTCCTCTGCCAGCAGAAGCTTCCATTAACGAAGAAGAGATGAGGAAGTCGTTAAGGGATCTTGTCGAGAATTGTGGCGTCTATGATGCACTGCTTTAGTCATCATCCTTAAATCTTTTAGTCTTATGTGACATCCTCGTTGTATTCTTCACTTATAACTTCCGCCGTCCTTTACTGAAACCCCACTGTTGCATCAATTTACTACCAATAATCTCTCCCTCGCCATCGGTGAGGTGATTGTAGCGTAAAGGGCGAGGAGGGTGTTATTTTTTATGTTACTTAAAATTTTGAGTATTAATTATATAAATAGTAGTTTATATGTTAAACAAATAAATTCTATAATTTTGAGTGTAATGTATTTAAAACCCCTTATTATTAAATGCATGTTGGATATATATGCCATTTTTTAAAAATTTTATCATAAAAGGAAATAAAATTGAACTACAAATAAGTTTCCTGTATATTCAAATGAAAACTAAGATGAAATAGAATTTACAACACATAAAGCAGACCTCTGAACATTTGAGCTGTGATTAACAATCATGATGATGAAATGAATTTGAACTATGTGATTTTGTACTTAATTGAAGAAGGTAATATTTTGACATAAAGTAAAATTAAAGGAAAATAACTTCCTATGTGTTTGTCTCAACTAATTAATTTAAGGATTACCTGAGAACAAGGGCCATAAGGTAAGTAATTGCTGGAATTATGTTCTCCAGCGTAGAAGCAAAACTTGCTGAGGTCAACTTAGCTCCCATACAATAGAAGTTTTGCTCAAGCACTGGCCTATAAAATTATAAGACGAGAAGCATAATTAGCTTGCTATGGACCACAACAGATTTTATTCAACGAATATTAAGCTGAGAAAGCAAAGGGCTGGAACCATTACTCCAAAACTGCAAGTGCCAATATCTTGATGAAAATGATTGGTGTAATCTTAGGTCTCCCTTTCCTGTAATAAAATAATGAAGTATCACTACATCATAGTTCAATATTCAACCATGATCATATTGAAACCTTGTTCTGAATATTATTTGCTTTAGACTCTCGTTTCATGAAACAATTTAAGATTTTTTAGATAAATTGAAGGTAAGTTGCAAGAAATGAAATGAAAATTTAGGCCTTCTCCAACCGAACTTTAAACGCATGAATGGTGTCGCTCGCGAGCTCTAGCCGAACGGCAAAACTTCCAGCATTTGGTTGCGGGTGAACAGTGCGACGTAAATATTGACGTTGCACTGTTCACCTGCGTTATTTTTCTGTCTCTACCGGATTTGCCGAAAAAACATGCGAAGGAGAAAGATGGTTACCTGGGCGCAAAATGGAGTTTGATTGGAGATGAATCACACCATTTTTTTTGTTACATTTCATTTTGGAGTGATAAATGAGATTTTCGGTTGGAGATGCCCTTAGAACAGGTTGCTTGATAATGAATCTATCAAATTATTGGAAATTTAGTTACCTACAATCTCCAATTTGTTTGGAAGAAAAGTGAAGCAAATGAAATAAAATTCCAAAAATTTCCGGTTGAATATGATGAATCCATAACTAATCATTTGAACCTTTTTTTTTTCCTTTCACTTAAGCTCTAAGCATCCAAACACACCATAAAATTTTATGAGCATATGAACTGACTTATCAAATTCTTATTTCATACGGAATCACTATAATCAGACTGAAGCTTAAATTATTTAATCTTCTTATAAGGTAAAAGGGAGATAACCTCTCAAACCAGAAGTGCAAAAGGAGCAATGACAGCCGCAGCAACAATATTACGATATACAACGAGCACAAATTGGTTCATCCCATCCTTGAGAGTTGCCACTGAGATTATGAACATACCGGCACAGCTAAACTGTAGCAAAATCATGGCCACATAAGGCTTCATCTTCTGCAAAGCTTTTGGACATCCATCGCCTCCTTTGAGCATCTTTGTCTTGGTATTTTCTTCGCACTTCTTAGCTAAACTGTAGCAAAATCGAGTGTTGCTTTTTAGCACATGGTTAGTTATGTGCAGTGAATATTCCTTGTTAGTGGAGTCTGTAACTAATACTGCCAAGTGCCAACGTTAGAAAATAAAATAAAATTAGGCGGAGGCGGAGGCGGAGACGGAGACGGCGGAGACGGAGTGAAACATAGGATTAGTTTTAAAAATTAAATTTAATCTAATATATATTAATAATTATATATACTCGGCATTCCTCTCGTTCTCGGCATCCATTGAAGACATGGCTTACCTCTTAGACGAGCAGCTGATCGTCTTCTACATCCTCACCCTCAAGTTCAAGGAAACCATCGAGGCTAATCTCCGCATACCCCAGGCAAACCCGATAGCCAGGCCTATTCCCCTCGGCTTGTACAAGTACAATTCCGCGATCAAACCCCTTCTCAAGTCTCAGCCGCTGCCACTGCCGCCGCCGCCTCCTCCTCCGCCACCGCCGATCATCTCGAAATTCCTGGAAAAGATCAACCAGGCCCGACAAGACGAGGCTTCCTCCCACTGGGAGACCCAGTCCATCTATCGCATCCCTAAATGCCTCCGTGACGTTGATCAGACAGCCTACACCCCTAAGATCGTCTCCCTCGGCCCCTACCACCGCGGACGCCGCCGCTTTCGCACCATGGATGGCCACAAATGGCGCTCCCTTTACCGCGTTCTTGACCGAACTGGCCACGACGTCCGCCTTTACCTCGACGCCGCCCGCTTCCTCGAAGACCGTGCCCGCTCCTGCTACGAGGCTCCCATCTCCATGTCCTCCGACGCCTTTGTTGAATCGCTCGTCCTCGACTCCATATTCGCCCTCGAGCTCTTCCGCGGCGTTGCCCTCGAGGGCTTCCGATGTCTCGGCTACTCCCCCGATGACCCCGTCTTCGCCGTCCGGGGCATCATGCACTCTCTCCAGCGCGACATGATAATGCTTGAGAATCAGCTCCCTCTCTTCGTCCTAGACTGGATCCTTGCCCTTCAGCTCGGCTACGATCCTTCTCGCGCATACCTCGTCGCTCCGCTCGCGCTCCGCTTCTTCAACCCTCTTATGCCCACCGAGGAGCTCCTCTGTCCCACCCCGTCTTCTGATACTCTCTACGAAGCTGGCAGCAGCGGCGGAGCCCTACATTGCCTCGACGTCTTCCGCCGCAGCCTCCTTCCGCTCTCCACGCTAGCTTCCTGTCCACGGCCGAGCTTCCGTAGCGAGCAATCCGCCCGGCCCGTTGAATTCGCTTGCCCAATGCTCTGCTCCGACGCTTGCTTGCCTCCAATGGCCTACGAGCGGCATCAGCAATTCATTCCATGCGTTGCTAATCTCCGCAACGCCGGTATTAAATTCCGGCGCCGGACAGGCGTACCGTTTTGGGACATTGAGTTCAAGGACGGCGTCCTCTACATCCCCCGCCTTCTTATTCAGGACGGGATCAAATCACTCTTCCTTAATCTCTTAGTGTTTGAGCAATGTCATTTGGAGTGCGGCAATCATATTACTTCCTATCTTTCCTTTATGGACAACCTCCTAAACTCGGAGGTGGATGTCAGGTACTTGCATGACAAGAAAATTATCGAGCATGAGCTCGGGAGCGATAAGGAGGTGGTCGATATGTTCAGCCGGCTTTGCAAGAAGGTAGTGTTCGACAGTGATGATTGCTACTTGTCGGAGCTATCGGTGCAGGTCAATCGCTACTATAGCAGTAAATGGAATACTTGGAGAGCCAATTTTAACCATAGTTATTTTAGCAATTCATTGGCTTTCTTCTCTTTGATGGTTGTTGTTGTCCTGCTTTTGCTGACTGCAGCAAAGACGTTCTATGTTGTTTATGCCTATTACAAGTCAAAGTAGCTACTTTTGTATCATTCAAATGAATTTTCATAAACTCGTATCGACTCTTTTTCATCGTAGATTTGTTTATTTAGCATTTTGTTGCTGTTGCTGTTGGGTTCGTCTTTCCAAGATACTCAAATTAAGTTTATATTAGTTGAAATCAAAGTTCAAAAACTTAAAATTTAACTATGAAAGTTTTTTGAGTAAATAATATACTGAGATTTGTATCATTCAAATGAATTTTTTTGAGATGTATCAACTCTTTCTTTAAAAAGGATTAGTTTAATCCCATTTTTTAAAAATAAAAAATATTGTCTTCATAGGAACTAGTATTTGGTATCACAAATCTTTAAATCTCAAAAACGCATCTTTTTTTTTATTAAAAGATGTGAAAAGTTAAATTAAGATGGCAATAATTTAGCCCAATTAAACTCCTAATCTCTCACGTGTTAGATTTGACTGATTTTTTTATTGCCTTTTAAAAATAGTAACTTTTTTACACATATTTTAGTACAAATCTTAGTTAAAAATCAATAATGATCACTATTTTTAGTTAATTTGTGGCTCATTCTCTATTATAATTTTATTATTGTGAGGTCCCCATCAACGACATCATAAATTATTATAAGTTATCATTTAAAATGTAAAAAAAAAAAATGCAATATGCTTGAAATTTCCAAAGAATAACAAAACAATATATTGTTTGGTTTGAATTAAGAGGGGTTAAAATATTTTAAATGCAGTGAATTTAAAATTTTGATGTTTGGTTTGACGTCGAAAAAAAAAAAAAACAGAATAAATTTTGAATTTACCGTCTAGTTCAATTTTAAATTGTTAGATTCGACCGATTTTCTAATATATTATAAGTTCTATAAAATTTCCGCTGCCACCATCAGTTGGCTGGAGCAAAACTAATATCCATTCATGTGGGGTCATTGAATAATGGAGCAAAGCTAACGTCCATTCATGTGGGGGATGAAATATTCATTTGATTGTATGTAATATGTTTTTTTAAATATATTTGTAATATACATGCTCAATGCCAAAGCTCTTTCTCACGAACTTTTATTTGGTCCGGTGCAAGGACCTAGAGGAAGGTTCGGTTTTG